CAATTCATGGGTGACTGTACATGTATCTGAACTAGTTTTGCTCATATATTTTTCTTGGTCTACTACATTTAACTTGTTCCATCTCTGTTTGATTTCACTTTTAATCCCAACAAAATCCAATTTACTTTGCGCTGCAACGTCATTCCAAACACTTCTTTCGTATTTATTAAAAGTAGCATTATCCTTGTTAGGTACCTTTCCTTGCTGTTTAGGTTGATTTGGCAATTCTGGATTGAAATTTAGTTTGTTCTGCGAAGTCGAAAGATATTTACCTTTTTTTCGTACACTTGATTTTGCTGGTGTTGATTTATTCCATTGCTCTTCGGGACATTGCGTGTCACTAACCTCGTCCACATCAGAGTTGTCAGAGGATTCTAAATTCGCAGACTTCTGTTTACAAAGCTGTTCCACTTTATCAAAGTTTTTTTTCGATTTTCGACCAATTCCTTGCAGAATACTGTCGACAAAACACCGCTGAAGTGCTTTATTATCCGCCCAATTTTCGCCAATAAAAGTGTCCACGCGTAGATGAGGTTTTCCCTTAAATGAACAATGCTTTTTAATTTTGAAAAAGTTTTCAACTTCTGCGTTAGTGTTGTTATCCACTTGTGAATTCCTAATCAGCGTGCTAATAGGATTAAAAAACTTAAAGCTATAATCAATGTTGTGCCTTCGTAGATCTCCAAGAAGCAACCCTGACCAGAGTATGCAAGTGGGAAGGTAGTTCTTGAAAATGTAATCAAAATACCTCGGCATGAAGTATTTGTTTAAATCGCCGCTCTTTACTCCATTGGTAACAAAATGTAACAGTTCTGATTCCCATTCTTTCTCCATTGATGTACACGCACTGCCAGAAACTTTCTGTATTAAATCTCCATCATCTACATGTGACAATTCGTCTTCAGAATCAACAATCTCGTTACAAAATTCGTCATTTTCTTCATCATTGCTTGCTGCATACATTTTGAAGTCATGAATATTATCAGAAAACTCATCCAGCTTTGATTTAAGATTGTCGTCAATGTATTGGCTTTTGAAAATGTAATGACCTAATCGAACTATGTTTTTCATTTCCTTTAAGGTGTTTGTTGCTATTAATCTCCCAAAAAATCGCATCGCAATGTGAACTTGGCTGTTTTGTGGAAGATTTTTTTCACTCAGTTCTTTCGCGTGCTTTTTTATGATTTGCATCATGTGTGCGGAGCACACATGATGTATGGCTTTCGAAGCATCCGAGTCATCCGCCTTTCCCTTAACAATTCGATAACCGCGTTCTAAAAATGCGTTATATGATTCTTGGTTGAACTCCTTTAGACACGCCGTTATGATGGCCATGCTGAAATCACTCATTACCAGATTTGGAACAGTAACCTTCGAACCAAATACTTGCTTTTCTTTTTCAATTAATTTCCTCATCATGAGGCCAATTGATTCAGCAGTGTGGCTACTCGAAATTAACTCTGAAACAGGCACGGGTGAATTAAAAGCATAAGGATTTCGTAAGACCATTGCATAGTAAAGCAGACGGGGTTTATTTCGTTCATTAGCAAATAATTTGCCAGTGGCGTCGATGTAAATTATATCTTGTTTCGCTAAATCATGAAAAATTCGAACCGACGCTTCGTTAAACATTACAATATTTAAGTCTGGCGTGACATTACAAAATTGGATGTAACCAAAAAATTTTCTCCATGAATGTCCGAGCCTGATTGCATCAGCTTCATCCTCATTCTTTATTAACACCTCTAGTTCGCACAAGCTATTAGCCAGATTAGCGTCACACTGATGTTTTTTCTTTGATTCCGACTTGATACCTTTCATTGTTGCACGAGTCACACCAGCACCAGTTCTTATACCTGCCGAGAAGATGCCGGCATCGATATCTAATAAGCTGTCACGATGTAGTTTGGAAGGTTCACTACCGGTTTTCCAGGCCTCTGTAATCAGTTTTTGCCGTGGTTTACCGGTCAGTCGTTTCGCTTTAGGTTGTGTAATGTCATGTTCTACATCTCCTGAAAAATTGATTGCTAGCACTCCTTCTTCTCTTGAAGCAATCTTTAAATGGACCTGGACGTCACCGTATTTGCAGACAGCATGACCGCGCCAGTACGGGGAAGACTTTTTACGTGAATTCTGGTGTTTGATGTAGTTCTTTTTAAATACCCAACAACAGTGACTATTAAAATTGTGTAAGATGTCGGAGAAAAATTCAACATAATTACCACTAAAAGCTCTGTGATTATCAGATTTCCGATTTCCAAGAATTTCCACCACTGGTATTTCTCGCCATTGACAAGGAAGTAAACACGATGATGACGGTCTCACCAACGTTGCTCTAAATGTTCCAGATGACGGTACGTTGCTGGCAGACAAGGTTTTCGCTGTCTTACTGGATACACAAGGTATATTCACAAAATCATTATCGTCATCTTCTTCCTCTTCCAAGCGTTGATATGAATTTAACGAAGGACGGTCTTCAGCATTGTCAAGAATGTAAACATAGGGATGACTTGAGGAATTTGTTTGCGCTTGTTGAATTTCTGCAGCTGTTTCTGCGTTTTTTCCTTCTCCACGTTCGTTTTGTGAGATTGATGACGTTAAATTTTGTTCAACTTTGGAAGACGACGAATCCACTTTTATATCCACGTTAGTGACGTTACCAGAGCTGGTGGGTATTTCTGTGGTTATTTCGTGTTGATCATCTGAGAAAAATGCGTTTTCGTTGTAAACTGTAATAACAGCTCGCCCTATAACATGACCAAGAAAATTAGCGATACCGCATTGATCAGCTTTCGCGTCAGGAATGGGAAGACGCTCGTCGTCTTCACACCTCGTAATTTTCTCCCCCTCACATTTATTTGGCCTTGAACTGTCGAGTGAAGCGTTGCTCAAGTCGTTAGACTCTTCACTGCCTAAATCACCCAGTCGACTAGGACCACAAGCATTATTTGCAGCAGGTGTTTTAGCGCGCCCCCTAATGTCCCCGTCGTTTTTCCGCCACAGCAATCGTAATTGTTCTATTTTTCTTTTTTCCACAGTCAAAGTCCTAAAGTAATGCTGCGCAACAGATTTCCAGAACTCTTTCTTTGACGTTGCTGTAGAGATCGACAAACCCGCAATAATTTCTGCTAATCGTTCGATATCCCAATTACCCTCGTTCTTCCTTCCACCTCCCTTCAAACCATCAGCCGGTTGCCTGCGTTTCGACCAAGACTTTCCTGACACAGTTACTGCAAAATCACAGCTTAATTTAAACCCTTCTTCTCTTTTTTTTAACAAAAGAAGCCTTCGAGCGTTTTTTCGCTGTTTAAGATTTCGATCGGGAGAAATGCCAGATGATCGATGACGATGACCTCGGAGAACTCTACCACTTACCTTTCTTGAACGCGGTTTTCTCTCTGTGATTGCTGTTTTCATGCTCATAACCGGCAAGCGTTCCAAGTTTTAATGTTTACAGGAAAGCACTCGTATTATCGTATTAGAATGAATCTGACCAATACAAATAAATCGGATTTTTTCGATGTTTAAAATCAAATTTAGAAATGATTAAACGCAAAAGCACGCGGTTAAAAACGTCTATGTAAATATACACAAGAACACATGGTTGTAAAGGCGCTACTACCCGAGTATCACCCGATCTTCCTGATGGGTTTTCCCTGAGATCAAAACAATGTGAATTATCATTGCCCGTGAGCTTGTTGTCAACAAAGTTTGTATTCTCGTGAGTTGTTGGCGCTGAATATGAATCCCGAAGCCCTATAAAACTTTCATGGTGTAGTATGGATATAAATCTCAAATGGCCATCTTTTAGAATTTCATATCAAGTCAAAACAGCGACGAAATCTGCGAAACAATCCGAGTGATGTTCAGCTTATTTGACATATTTCTGACGTTTGAGAACTTGAGCCGTTTTTAAGACCATGGTTTAGCGATGCTGTTTGCGCCGTGTAGTAAGAGAAGAAAAGATATTTTTAGCGTAAAGCATTCGAATGATGGCTAACAATAATAAAATGGGGTTTATGATTTACCAGCGTTGTCCGCTAAAGCGTGAATTTGCTTTAAACACGGCGGTTGTGTCCATCGGGTTGTAATGTTAATGATGTCGGGGTGACAGAATTCTGACGGCTTGTATCTCAGGAGTTGTGCTCACTGGATACGAATCCTAGAACCTCAAATCTTTGTGGTGAAGAGTATGAATGTATATCTCAAATGGCCATCTTTTAGAATTTTATTTAAAGTCGAATTAGCGAAGAAATCAGCGAAAAAATCTCGGCGATGAAAAGCGTACTTAACATGCAATGGCCGTTTGTCGATTTGAGCCGCTTTGTGTACACTTGTTTGACGGTGTTGTTTCCGTAGCATATTACAGGTAGAAGAGATCTTTTTTGCTTAGAGTATTCGAATAATTGTTAGCATTGATGATATGACATTTACAGTTCAATAAACCAATGTGGAAAAACGAAAATTTGCAGAAACCGGGTTAGTTGCCTTCGCGAAGGGATTAAATTTATGCCACGGGTGCGTGGTTTAAATCAGACAGCTAGACTTTACAGAAGTTGCCTGTCGTGGTTTCGCAAGCTAGAAGAAGGTTAGAACTATAAGGATATTCTCATAAGCTTTCTCTCGAATGGCCATCTTTTAGTTTTTACAAAAACTCGTCGTAAAGCTAGTAAATCGAACTTTTATAAAGCCTGGCGGTCGCCCGTGCCGCTGACCAGTCAACTTTGCGAAAAAAATGGCCAACTTCACGGAGCTATTGCGAGCAAAGTAAATGAAATAAAACTCTCATTTTAGGCCATGTTCTTTATAATATAACAAAGAAAAATGGCCTTTTTAAATTTTTCGATTTCCATCAAAAGCGAAGCGGCCACATCGGTTTGTTTGAAAACTAGCCACTCCAGCTCCGGGTTCGCTCGAATCCGGAGCCAGCTCCGGGTTCGCGAACCCGGAGCCACGAACCCGGAGCTGAATATCTTGTCATTCCTGTCACCCGACTCCTCCCCCGATGGATCGCGGGCTCTGGCCTCGAGATTGGTTTTGGCGCGAAAGCCAAAAAGTGACCAAAAATCCAAAATGGACGAAACAAAACAACAACAGCAAGTGAGTTCCTCAGGCGCCAGTATCAATGAACCAAATATATCTGACGAAAAGTTAGAACAGCTCCCTCTAAAAGAGTTGAACGCATTTTTAAAAGAAGGAAAGTTTTCTAAGGAAGAGGAGAAAGCTTTAAGGCAGCGACGTGCCGATTTAAAGAGAAAGAAATCTAGTATAGAAACCAGATCCATAACGAGGCAGGCAATGAAGCTCTTCAAGGACCAACAGGCATCAGTAGTTTCAGTCGTGGCATCAAAACCGAAAGCCTTGAAGCCCATCTCTTTGGTTCATAGAGAGAAATTTGAAAGCTTGTTTGAATTGTGGTCTAAATCGCCTACATCGATCACGATAATAAACGGTAACGGCGTATGCTTCGAGAAAGAGTTCATAATTGGCAGTGGAAGTTCTGGAACTGATGTATTTATTTGCTTGGGTTCCGATGGGATTGAGCGAGCGATTAAACGCTTGAAAAAAGTGGCGTTTGGAACGCTTTTGGAGAACGAACGAGATATCTTGACTTCACCCAATGCTATTGAATCGCCGCGTATTGTAAATTATTGGTTCTTTGATGATGTGTCCAACTCAGATTTCTGTTATCTGATTATTAATTTATATGAACGGAATCTTGAACAGTTTCTCAAGGACAAGAATGAAGCCGGTGAAGTTATTAAAGAATCTCAATCTAAGAAAATGATTTTTCAAGTGCTGCAAGGGCTCGAAGCATTACACACCAGAGAACCTAGAATCCTCCATAGAGATTTGAAACCCACCAATATTCTTGTGGATGTTAATGGTGATTTGGTGCTGTCTGATTTTGGTATTGGACGAAAGTTTCCTGAACAAGGTATTTACACAAAATAAATTATCCATGATGCATTCCATGCGTAGAAATAATGTTTATTATTTCTATGATTCCATGTTAATACTTGTGTGACAAAGATAAGCATATTTACATTACAATCTTGTAACTCCATGGCATAGATCTTTGGTGTAGGGTACACTAATTGCAACATTGTATATTATTCATTCAAAATGAAAAATTGCAGTGTAGAGTGTAGACAACCTCTCATATTCTTGCTTTGCATCTGACATAATCTGTGATATCTGTCATCCCACCATATAAGGGCAAGGAGTCTGTGGAACTGTACAATACTGTATGTTACCTTGCTGCTACCTTGAAGCCAGTTTGAAGGCCATCATTGATAATTAAGACGCAAATACACAATCCTTTGAAAAAACTTCACAAAATTTGGCATTTATACCTGTCTTATATACAAAATTTGTCTCTGTAAATATTGATAGGAGCAATTATAGAGTACCTGGCTAACCCACTTTTTAATAGTGAATGTCATATAGTCTTCTAGATACATGTGCCTTGTTTTATGTTACTTAATCCATGAATTGGACTTCCAGAGAACAAGAATAAACACTACTCTTAAAGAACGGGGCAGTTCTATAGTCTAAAATTGATTCTCTAACACATCTTTAACATAAAGGACTATTAGCCTGGTATTCTATAGTTGTACCCAAGTTGTCTTCATTAAGTTTTGATTATTGGAGGGAGTGTACAAAATTAAGAGTTAATTATTTACTGTAGCCCTATGACCTCATCATTAATTCCTAAGCAATAGCATAGCCAAAGAGGGAAAATGAGTGGTCTAGCCCCACTCTAGCCCCCCTCCCACTTTTTCTATTTTAGACAATTCTTGTTTTGAATGCCAGGTCAGTTCACACATTTAGGGTGCCAGGCCTGTTCACACTAGTAGTTAATTACATTGATCTGAGATCAGTCTATGTAAAGCAAGCTAAGTGTGAATCATTGTAAAAAATTGGGATCAATCTGATGTGGTTTAGATTGATTTCAGTTAGCTTGCTTCTGAAGGTGGTCTAAAATTAATCTGAGGCTAAAAAGCTTTATAACTCAAATGAGCATAAGAACAGAGGGTTAGATGACTAGGATTAACTACACTGGGGTTTATTTGAATTCTAGAGTTGACAGAAATTTACTAACTAGATTACTATTGTTTACTCGATAACTTGTGTTTTGATTAGTTACTTGGGTTTACAAGGTTGCTAAACTTGTGATGGAAACTAGATCACTTTAGGACACTGTGTTGATTACATGTAGTGCTTGTGTGTTTAACAGATGGACCTACCTGCAGTTATTTAGACTGACTATGCCCTGTTCATAAGGGTTAGTATAAGTGCGAGGGAACTCAAATGTGCAGCTAGTGTTCAAGATTTATCAATTTGTAGGTACACCCAATATATTTGTTACTGCACAGCTGTCTGGACTTTAACACCCGGCCTGCTTGCACTATTGCACTAGCCATTCAGGATTCTAAGCTTGCTTAAAAAGCTCATTTTGTTTTCATATATAGTTAAGTTAAGTGTTGTTAAGTTTTGAACGATTAGCTGTGAATGAATCGCAAATGTTGATTTTATTAAAAATGATCTTCTTTAGCTTGACCAACAGTTATTTTGTAATAAATTTCCCTCTAGCTACTTAAAATCAAAGATCAGGTAGCCATGCACTTATTTAAAAGTTCTGCAAGCATATTTCCTTGAAATGATGCAATTGTAATTCTTTTGGTAAAAAATATACCAGAAAAGCCAGTTATGTAATTTTAAAATAATCGGTTTTCTTATTTACTTCACAGGTGCAACTACCTACCATACTGATTCACATGAAGGTTCAATGGGGTGGATGGCATATGAAAGTGTTGACTGGAAACATTTGCTAGGAAAAGATCCACCATTTCAACCAAGATGGAAAGAGAAATCAGATATCCAAGTGGCAGGTATGGTAGCCTTCTTTATCCTAACGAAAGGAAGGCATCGTGTATTTGGTGAAGGACTGTTTAAGCAACTAGAGAATTTGCATTTGGGCAATCCAGTTGGTTTAACGGGGCTACTCAGCGATCAGCCCGTAGTGAAAGATTTGCTATCTCAGATGTTAGTTCAGGATCTAGATAAGCGACTCTATGTGGAACAGGCTATAAAGCATCCCTATTTCCTTTCTTGCAAAAAAAATATGAAGTTTTTAGAGGCAGTGGGAAATGAGCCTGAAATAAAGAAGGGAGATGTAAGCTGTCATATTGTTAAAAAATTGAGTAGGTCCAATCCTTTGTTACCAAAGGATTGGAAAGCGGCGATTCATATCGATAATCTCAATGCATTTTGTGCCGGAGGTAAACACCCATCAAAGCTGATTGGTAGCGACTATACCCATTGTCTTCGCTTGATACGAAATGTTCTTCAGCATTGGAGTGATAGACCACGCCCTGTGCTGAAAGATACGGGAGTAACTACTTCTGTAGGTGAATATTTCTTCCAGTTATTTCCAACACTCCCGCTGGTTGTTCATCAGCTGATTAGAGATGACCCCGACTGGAAAGCACGCCCAGCCTTGAGGGAGTTTTTCCCTGTGGTAAACCGTCGCATTTCACCTGATTCGGACGATTAAACATGGTATATCATGACATGTAATTTACTTCTCGTTGGTCTTATACAGTCCTGGTGCAGTTAACGCGATCATGTGTTGTATCATTTCGTCTTGTTAGAATGATTATATAAGATTATATAGTTTTTCTTACGGTTAGTTTGTTCACTTGCAGTTTTTACTAGGATTTTTGCTTTGTTTGATACGAGAACGAATGGCTTAAAAGTCTTGAAGAAAGAAGATCTACATTATACCTTTTCTTAGGACTAGTTTGTAAACTTACTGGGATTTTTCTTTTCAGAGATGTGACGGCGAATAGCTTAAAAGTCGTGAAAAAGAATATCTAATTTACTTATACAGTTATACAGTATTATAATTGTATTTTTAACAAGCAATTTTAACAGGTTTTTATTTAGATAAGTTCTTTCTTTGGGTGTTCTGGATGTGTATTTGTAGTGATATATTGTACAGAGTGAATGATCGAAAGATTCGGTTAAACCGAGAGTTGAAGCGCAGAGTTTTGACTTCGAAGAGTTATGTTAAAACAACGTCCAAACTACACCCATTTTCTTTTACGACCAGACCCAACTCTTAACTTTTCAGATGTTTCTTGAACTAACATGAGAGATATTATGTTTGACGTAACCCTCGCTCTCTATCGTTAACATTATGAAGATTTTGGAGAGTCAACATGTTCACGGTTTTGATTATGACGAGAGTTATGTCGAGAGAGAAACCACTGGGTACATCGGTAAGTTTAACATTCAACGAGTTTCCTTTTCAAAACTGACATAAAGCTCTTTATAATCAGAATTGTGAACACGGAGATGGTAAAGAAGTTAACTTACTTTAGAGTGGGTCTTGATTTAGAGTGGAATTATACACACTTCAAATTCAAGCCAGGAACAGTTGATGGAAAAACGAGTCAACTATCGGTCCTGTTCGGTTCAATTCCTGCCGGAGGACCGATAGTTGACTCATTTTTCCATCAACAGTTCCTGGCTTAAATAATTAGAGAGAAAGTCTAACCCGTCTATAAATATGAACAGGAATGGATAAGCTTATACGTGTGATGGGTTGGGTAATGCTAAAAAGGGTATCGTAATTATTACGATAAAATTTTGTTTGTTTTCTCTTAGCCTTGTTCCGTCCTTGACCGTGTTGATATTTCAGAAACTAGTCTGATTTATCCGTCCAAATGCGAATTTAAGACGAGTTTCTCGTCCAGACGGGATCCCCGTCCAACTTACCCGTCTGTTTAGACGGGAAACTTAGACGGGAAAGTTCGGGCGAGAAACCCTTCTGTGACCGGATTCACATCAGACGAGTTTCCCGTCTTCGATGAATTTCTCGTGTAAGACGAGTTTCCCGTCTCTAATATGAATTCTGTATAGCTGCGACATTTCAAGCCATTAATCCATCCCGCCGTGAAGCGATATAAGCATCATCAATTTGCCTTGTTTACATTTCAAAATATGTTTCTTATAATTATATGCATCTTTGGCAAAAGTGGATGCGTTATTATTTCAAGTGCGAATATATAGGTTATTTTCAGCTGCAAGAAGATATGAATTATATAATCGAGTGGCAAAGGCATATTTAGGTTCGGCACATGAATAGTGCGACGTCTGAAACGGGCCTAAGTGAATTGTTGACGTTTCAAACAAAAGGTAGGCTAATGTGAGGCCCGGTTCCATTTAAGAAATAGAAAACATTTTCCGTGTTTCTATTCAGTTATAGAAACACGCGTGGGAGTTTGGGAGAACGAGAAATAATCAGTGGGAAAACGCGCCCGTAGGGCGAGTTTTTCCTCGTTATTTCGAGTTCTCCCAAACTCCCACAAGTGTTTCTATAACTGTATAGAAACACAGGAAAAAATGTTTTCTATTTCTTTTATAATATAACTCAATAAAAAGATTTTGTACAAATATTATAATTCGATTCAATTACAAATTCTCATTACATTACTTCGCTTGTCAAGTTCGGCGGGAAAATTCCCGTGTTTCTATACAGTTATAGAAACACGCTTCTCGACCAATCAGCACGCGCGTACTATAAATGTTATATTATAATTCGTTGTAGTTGTCGTGTCATTTTTACAGATGAGAAATTGTCCAAACTCCGGATAGATCCCGAGTGGCTTTAGTGGCCAGTCACAAGAGCATTGTTTACAATAATCAGCCGAATATGAATTCAGCTGAAAGCCGAATTTCTGATGACTGGTTTTCTACTAGAGATTTTACGCGCCAGTTCAAACTCCGGATGGATCCCGAATGGCTTTAGTGGCCAGTCACAAGAGCATTGGTAACAAAAATCAGCCGAAAATGAATTCAGCTGATAGCCGAATTTTTTATGACTGGTTTTTTTACTAGAGATTTTACGCGCCAAGCCACCTTATCGTTTTAAGCCTGTTTTCCACTAGGCGGAATTTTGCGCGCGAAGCGGAATATCTCTTTCAACGAAAAATTCCGCCAAGCGGATAGTCGCCCTTAGAATTTAGTGGAAAACCGGCTTTAGAGACGGGAAACTCATTTTATCCACCACTCGACACTGTCACTGATAATTGCCGACTGTCAAGCCGTAAAATTTGAGAGTCTGGCTTATGAAACCTGATACGTCTCGATTTCCGTGTCCAGCGTAAAGTGTTATTTCAAGCAAGAAGCGTTTCCATCCAGAGAATTTTGTTTCCAGGAAAATTCAATTGTCCGTAAGTTAATATATATACATACATTCTGCCTGTTCGTCAACAAAAATATCGACATTTTTATTATTTTATTGTAGACTTGTTTGTCGCTATATAATTGCATGTAGTGTACTGGTGAGGCTTGCCATCAGATATAACGTATTTAATGACCATTTTATGTGATTATGTCGTAGGTCGAATGTTAACATCAATCACGCCGCAGAATTCAACTGCATGTCGTGTACTCGTAATTCTATATGACTGAGTTCTATGTATACAGGGTGTATCAAAAAAAAGGTAATCCAACTTTGGTGCGCTATTGTACGTGAATTACTCATTCTATTAACGAATTTTTTTCACATTCCGAAAGGTTAGGCTTTTATCTATCGAATGACATGTTTTTGATAACAAATGGTGAAAACATGAGCAAATAGGAGGCTGCTAAAAAGTGTTAGTCAAAATCGCATATTTTCACCTCTGAGAGTTGGGACTAAAACCATTGAAAATGAAATCTCTTTGGGATTTAAATGAAGAATTTTGCTTTTGAATAAGCGACCCGCATATGCATATTAAGTAGGAATAAATCACATTAGGAGAACATTCTAAGCAATGCGGCATAAAACCAGTGCAAGCTGTGACATGTTGTGATTAATTGTTTTTTTCTTTTGTTATGCACTGCTTTAATTAGGCTCAAAGGTGAAAATATGCATTTTGACTAACACTTTTTATCAGCCTCCTATTTGCTCATTTTTTCACCATTTGGTATTAAAAAACATGTCATCCGATAGTTAAAAGCCTGATCTTTCCGAATGTGAAAAAAATTCGTTCATAGACTGAGTAGTTCACGTACAATAGCGTGTTGAAGTTGGATTACCTTTTTTTTGATACACCCTGTATACTAAGATATTATGCAGACATTGATATGGCTGAAATTCATTCATATATGCATGCGTATATTGATCTCTTTACAATTTCTGTCAAAGCCACAAAGACAAGTTCAGAAGTCGAGATCATGATCGAATCAGATCGATATATATCAGTGTTTTAGTTGGTCAGTTACAGTAAGATGGTTTTTAGCAACAAAGAAAGGCTCTTTTTTGGGCAGGCAGATTACAGAGATCTGGGAAAGCGTTTGGCTGGCGGTTGTATATGTATATTGATATATCTATATGCGAGTTGATATTTGGGAAAAGATAAACGTTCACGTTATATAGAGTTTGCGTGTAGCTATATATATATATATATATATATATATATATATATATATATATATATATATATATATATATATATATATATATATATATATATATATATATATATATATATGAGGGAAAGGGACAAATTTACATTCTTAGGTTTGAATATGCCCGTCAAGGGTAAGTATGTTAAACACGGAGAACATTTTTGCCTATATTATTACCTGTGTTGCAACTCCAAATTTACTATATATATATATATATATATATATATATATATATATATATATATATATATATATATATATATATATATATATATATTATATATCTATATGCGAGTTGATATTTTGGAAAAGATAAACGTTCATGTTATATTGAGTGTTCATGTTATATAGAGTTTTATTTAAGACGAAGAAACACGCTAGCCCCATCAACTCCAGGCTGGTTTCCATCAATTCCATGAGGGGCGTGTTTAAATATTAAAAACAGTTAACAAGACTACAAAACAAGACAATTACAGACAGTTTCACACATAAATAGGTTATATGAAGAGGTAGGATGCGTTTCAGTGTCCAACAACAATAGATTTAAACAAACGAAGCGACTGGGCTGATTTTGCTTCGTTTGGGAGCCGATTCCAAAGCATAGCACCGCTATATTTGAATGACAAGTCGCGTATATCATTCTTTCCTGGCCACTCAGCACTAAAGTGTCTTTGAAACAAAGAAATAAGGTTAGCTACAGTATGGTTGCAAAGGAAACAGGCCTTATTCCAATTTCTTTTATAGCTTAATTACGTATCTTACCAGCAATGACTAACCAGACAAACTTATCTTCCAACGAATCTTCCACTGCGTGAGTATACATGATAATATATTGCTTAGCGATAAATGTCTGTTATTGTTTCAAGTGTCAATGTGTTTACTTTTTTCTAGTGTTGCATGTGATGTTGATGCAAGATATTATCCTCATTTCTTATTGATTCCTGCTGTAAGTTTAAAATGCCAGACTTGTGTTATAAAGCCTCTAACTCACTCGTGCGTGTTAATCCGTAATTGCACTGGAAATCATACTATTACCTATGGAGTACTGCAATTTGAATATTAAAGATCCTGTTAGTCACGAGGTTATGAGTCACCTTGCAACGAACTCATCCGTAGATGAAGGACCATCGACCACATGTATTAGGCAGAAATAAAACAGTTTTTCATATAATGTCTCATACAGAAAATAAGAGAACGTAAAATCTGTTTCAGGCGATAATTCTTACGATTTTGGCATTTTTGCGACGAAGAAAAAGTTACAAGAAAGATTTTTGGGGAGGTCGACCAGGGCTCGTTATGTAAGTTCATTTTTGTAATGATGGTACCAGACCTGTCTCTCGAATAAATAAAAACTCTTAAAAGGACGGTCTGTTTTTGTTGTAGTGAGTGACCATCAGGACTGGTTAGAAAGTGTGAAGTTGAATTTTCTAGCATTTCAACGACTATTAATGACCGAAAGCAAATAAAAATTCGCCTATATATACGCTAAATATGCTAATTATATAATACGACTAATCCCTAAAAGTTAACATGCACCGAAGGTCTTATAGCATCATTAACGAACGAAACTTACGTTACAGTTAATTTCAGCTGACCTTTCATCGTAAAATTCCGAAGTTTCTTCGGAACTTCCGGAATACATTCCATATTTGGAATGTTGAGCCGCGAGCTTCGAAACGAATTCGGAATTTCGTAAATTCTTTTTTTACAATTTGGCAGTAGTGGACGAGTTATCTCCGTGAATGTCAACGTTTAAGGGAAAGTCAGATGAAGAAACTAATTCAAAAGTGTTCTAAACGTTAAAAGCGAACTGGTTTACCTCAAGATTGCAGTAGAAATTGTTGACAAAAGAACAAAATAGATGTCATGTTTCAAAAAGAAATTTAGTTAGACGCAATAAATCGTATTTGCGAAATTCCGAATTCGTTTCGAAGTTCGCAAGTTCGTTGGGAAGTTTGTTGCGAAGTTCATGCGCAGCATTCCAAATATGGCATGAACCAAGGAACCAAATTCGTTCGTAACCGTGAAATCCCGGGCTTGCTTGAACGTTTAGCGTGATATATTCACAAACGAAAATAAGTTTGCAGTTCTGTTTTGCATAACTTCTTTCAACGCAAGTTTAATGCTTAATATATTCTAATCTTAAAACGCCATTACGGTGATCGGTCATTATGTAAATTCAAATGTATTCAAATGTACATTCAAATGCAAATTCATTGACATTATGTAGACCCCAAAATTCTGCCTAAGACTTTTTGACAAACATGCAGCATTTCGCTCTCGGGCATTTTGGTACAAGAGACGAACATCTGCTGGAAGCTGTCGAAACCTCTCGTCCCTAACGACTTTATTTACGACGATATCCCAGAGAGCGCCATTCCTTACATATAGTGATCGTTAATCGAATGTCTCTCGAATTTGCGGATTACTCTGTGCCCTCTACGTGCTCGCGGTGGCATATTGAAGGCAGTTTAAAAATCTTTTATTTTTATAGAAGTTTATCTATTAACCCAGCTTATTAATTCAATTGAATAAATGTTTGTTTGTAAAAGACTGCTCAGGTTCCGTGATTACAAGCCTATAGTGGCTATACTCAGCCAATATAGGCCTGTAATTACCTCGCCTTCGCAATCAAACTTTGTATTAAGATATCAAATCTGCAATTTGTAGCCCAGTAGATTTCCTTGGTATTGATCATGACCGACTTGCCACTGTGTTTGTGTTTGGAGCTGCTACTGAATCAATCATTACGCTGGTCACAAAGATTGGAATTTCATCAGGTTCAAACGGTTGGGAAAAAGGTAAAAATCATCCATACTAACATCTAAAATAACATGAGTGGTACAGTGAAGAACGTTTCGCTGGGTCAAGGCAATTTGATACAGTCGAATTCTCACAATTGAAAAGAAAATCGAGCGACAATTTTTTTGATGGAGAAATACTGCCTAATGAAAAAATGAAAAACATTTCTATTCTCCTAATTTTTAATTTTTCTTTTTTACGAGGTATTTCTAGCAGGTACTTCTAACAGTTCTTCAATTCCAAATGTATCATTTAAGTAATTGTACCCGTTTTTCTCTGTAAATTACATCCAGCGTTCCTTTTCTTCGGCATTGCAATTGAATATGCTGTCATTTATTATCCCTACTTTGCTTGCCTGACGACGTATCACAAAATAATTGGAGCAATGATGGGTCTTCCTTATTGTACAGTCAAGTAAGTGTGCTCACAGTTATTGAGGCTTCCGTGCAACTTAAACAAAAGAAACTGATTGCAATTCCCTATTTGAGGCACTTTAACCTGAAAACAGACCTACACAGCAAAAATTGATTAGTTCGTCGCATCAACAGTGAAAAATATTTTGCTGTGGCTCCATGAACAATTTGCATGTTGACATGATTGCCAACAAGTTGCAACGGTAGGCTACTCATGGTTCAAAAACTATTGCTAGCAATGAACAACATAGTTCACTTAAATTGAACAACTTCCACCAACATGATGATTTTTACGTACGCGTTTACCAGCCCTAAAAGTTTTAGGTCAGCGCTTTTTGAACAACGTTAAGCGGGAACTCGCAATGAAATTAAATTTTTATTGCACATGTATATGCGACAGTATTATGCTCGCCTTATAATGATACTGGTAAAATTGCAAGGGGATATAATGTGTGGGTCAACAAACAGTAACAAAATTATTGAAAACACGAAACTCGGAAAAGAACATTTTCCTCCGTGTATATATAGTCAACCAATTAACTTTAAGCTTTCGTTTGTTTTCATTACAGTTTTTGTGTAACTTTGACACAAACGTTTCAGAAATGTCGGGTAAGTTTGATTTGGCAATTTCGGTCTAGGGATAAACCAGCGCGCTTGAGGAGCGCTAGCATGTAAAAATATCGGCGCATAAAGATTTGCTTATCTTCATTAAGTACGAATGTATAATTTATTAAATCCTTATAGAATTATTCTTCAACCACCATCGCATTACTCGTATTGATGATTTGGCCAATAGTGATAAGCCATTTATTTATCCTGGGCAAGTTCATATTCGTATTTTATCGGGAAATTAAAGAATATGGAATCTTCGGGGTAAAGTTATTTTCCCGCGATGTAAGTAGCTACTTTTTTACTTATACCTCGTTCACACGATACGAGTAAAAAACGGTACGAAATTCTCATGTTTTTGGGTGCGTCCAGGAGCGTTGCGAACGGGCTGGGATGGAGAGGGGGGTTGTAGTCACATTAGTGTATAAAATTGTTCAACATTGGTCGAGGGATGTTCACGAGGCAGCCCCATGGTTGGTGCCGAGTTCAAATTCCGCACGAGCCTCTAGATATTTGGAAACAGCCTATTTTCAGTACGACTAGCCTTGCATATTCGTAATAATAATAATAATAATAATAATAATAATAGACATGCATGAAGATCGTTTCTAGCGTGAAACTCGGAGAAGCAAAAGCATTAAAAACGTATTTATTGAATGTCCGTTTAGGATGAAAGTTCGTCTCCACAAGTGAAATTGCTCAGACCTTGGTTGGAGGAACACGTGAAGAACATTTTTAAACCAAAGTATGATCATGTGTAATACCATTGCGCCAAAAGAAGTTAAGAAGTAGCTATGTGCGCACAAAACGAACATGGTTGTCGGCTAATTATATATTGACGTAGAAAAAATCTTGCATCTAAGTGTGATAGCGCAGGTTATTGGTTAAATCGAGCTTCTGAACAGGTCTCAACAGCTAGGCTTTGCAAACTAATTCCTGTTACTCGGGATTAGCAGATAAATTGGGTGAAAATCGCCGATTTCAAATTTTCATTGAAAAATTGAATAACGCAGGTGTTTAAATCTTCAAACAAAAACCACAACCACAAGAAACCCCGGATTCACTCTTCCAGATGCAGTAAATTTTAGCAACTTTAGTTCTACGAAATTTTCATTAATTAGCAATTTCTGCCTACACCATGACTGAATCATGTTTATGCGGCCAAGGGCTGCTAAAAGCACCTTTGACTTTGTTCCATGATGTTTTCTTTCAGACTGTTTTGTTAGAGCTTCCAAAAATTACCAGGAAATTAGTCTCGCTCTCAAATAAATTAAACCTTACCTTTTATCATTTCTTTCTTGAAGGCGTGTTTTTTTCTTTTTCTCAAAATCTGTTTTTAACTGTGTGACATCAGACTGGAACATTTATTATTCTAATAATTTTCCTGTTTTTCTAGACCTCCTCGTCAATATTCAAGAATGCAATTTTTTCTCAGGAAAGTTTACAATCCCGAAAAAGGTATATGACCTTGTTTGATAATTGGATGATTTATACGATCAAACACTATTGCCCGTATTCAAAGAGCACATTCACACTAATTAGCTTTTCTCACGATGACGAATGTTCCGCCATTTTTGGGGTCCTTTTTTAAATTGTTTGCGCAAGACCTTGTCAGGGCGGTTGTCTTTAATTTTAGGCTTAATCTATTGTTCAAATTGTCTATGGACTCTTAAAAAATTCTTCTTACATTGCTATTATTGTTTAAACGCATTTGAAATTACCCCAAAAATGGCGGATATTCGTCATCGTAAGAAAGGCTAGTTGAGTGTGGCACTGATCAATGCGATAGTCCCCTCTTAACTATTGGAAGGGTTTAGGGTAAAACATTGAAAACCAAGGTCTTAATTATGCGAGTAGAAATACGCAAAAGAATCACTATGAAGTAATTGAGATATTCCACTCAATGGGTTTGAGTGTGAGTGAGCTTTTAGAAATTAAAATGAAATTACGCGTAAGTCCCGGTAGACATACGACAGACGGCGTTAGAACCTCGCTAGAATAACACTCATTTGTAATAAAAATACGATGCACGTATATACATACTCGACAAATGAACGATGAATAGTAAACAACAATAGAAACTCCGTTAAGAGTAAATTTTTGAAAAATATAATATTCGATGTTTCGACTAAACTATAGTCATCATCAGGAAAATAATGATGACGAAATAACATAATTATGTACAAATATATATATATAAGTACTCAGATAGCTATAATATATGCATGTTTAGTTATAGTTTCGTTCGACATTTTTAGATTTTAGGTTTTCGACTGAAACTCTCTCTGTGATGATGATCTGTGGCATTCTACTTTATAATGTAAGTTTTGCTTTTTTTTATATTTATTTGCATTATATATATAATTTTATATAATTAAAAATTATATGTGTAAAAATGTTTAATCCAAATAAATCGGGATATTTCCATCTTCTTTTTGGTGATTTAGATATCAACTTATTTGATTTAGATAACGGAGCAAAAATATTTTATGGCTAATATAGAGAGTAATATTGCTACTAATTCAATTTTCACATATTTGATCCAAATCCCTCAGAAGTGCTAATTAAAGGTAGATTACAGTCGGCAATGTAAACAAACGCTGTGTCTACGTATTGCATCTCTATATCTCTTAAAATACCCTGTCCTCTCAGAATATCTATTACCATTTTAGTTCAGTATATTTCTAAATGAATAACAGATAGAGTTTATGCTCAAAGTATAACAGATAGAGTTTATGCTTCTTATTGGGACGCCCAATACATCTCGCTAGCACATACTTGTCTTTTTCTCTTTAAGCTTTGCACTCTTTGCATCTATATGCCAAGTGCGCTATTAAGAAAAATTGAGAATGAAAAACCTTCGAATCCTTCGGACGAAAAATATCTGGGAAAAGATGTGTTGCGTGGGATTTTTGGTTGGTGTTGCTCGAGATATATATAGTCACTATAATTCTATCATGGTGTATCCAAGAGATAAATTTCGAGTTCTACGATATGAGAATACTGTTTTGAGAGTTGTTTTGAACATTTTTTTTACTAGTTTTATTATTGGTTAGTGGGATCCTCACGACTGTGATATGTGCGCTCTCCCTCATTCTTTTCATGGAAAATCATAAGTATGAAGAAAAACAAGCGTAATCCATAGTGTTTGATATTCAGGGTGCCCCCCCCCCCCTTCAAAAAGCAAAACCAGTAAGCTAATGCCATACTAAGCAAGACCAGTAAGCTAATGCTATAAGCTGAATCCAAGAGTGTATATAGAAGTGAAAATTTACTATACTGAGTTCTATAAACTTGTGCAAATCTTCATGTCAGACAAAACAAATTAAACACAGGGTGGCATATTCAAAATGCAGTTCTTTTCAAGTTTATTTCGCGAAAATATTGTTTTATTTCAACATCGTATAGACGTTTGTAAAAAATTTATTTTCTACAATAGTTCACCGGAAAGAATCTTGTATTCGGAAAAAAACTACTGGTTTTTTGGGACACCTTGTAGTGTTGGATTAGTTTTTGCCTGATCTTCCTTGTAATTTATTTCAGGAATAACATGCTGAGGATGTTCAGAGGGGATAAATCGTTCATCGCTAAGCACATAAGCGTGTCTCAGTTTATGGTTGTAAGTTGAGCAACTAGCCTTTCTCGCGAAGACGAATTTGCCGCCATTTTTTTCAAAACTGTAAGCGCATCTGCGCAAGACCTAGTAACGGCGACTGCCTTTAATTCTAGGCTGAATTTATTCTTCAAATGGTCTGTTGATTCTAAAAAAATTGCTTTTCATGTTGTTACAATTTTTTAAACCCGTTTGAGAAAATTGAAAGTACCCAAAGACGTCATCGTGAGAAAGGCTAATTGCACTCCTAAGTTGCTTAAAAAATAAAGTTCGCTAACATGCAAAGAACTTCCGTTTTTCCCTTTTCCAGGAAAAAGGACTTCGATATCATAGTTTCCAGATTGGATACTTTTTGTGGGGTGAGTTGATTATGCAGGATTGGTATATTATACCATCAATTTGATGGTTTTAGATAAACCCTAAATCGGTACATGTTGGATCAGTTGCACTTGTTATTTCCACCAAAGCAAGGGGTATAAAACACAGCTATGGAGGTGCTATTGTAACACTTGAACATTATAACAGTGTATACATCATGTTTTCTTGAAAAAATTATTTAAATTGCGACACTCTGTTCCCGCCTATACAAAGACGATCTGTATGATTAACTATTTTTGTGTTAAATTTTTCTCTACAGTAAGGGCCATCCTAATGGTCATATTGTATTGATATCGCTTCTTTTTCTTTCCAGGCTTTCTTCTAAATTGGATTTTCGTATGTATCCCATTCGTTCTTTTATATTCCTTGAAATTTTCCTGGGTTCAGGATTGGATCCTCGACTATATCAGCGGCGGCGGGTAGGTGGAATCACCTGTGTTTATGTACTCTTAAGATTTTTTCAATTAAACATTCTTAGCAATGTTATTATACAATGTGTTTAGGCATTTCTTATTTTGCAAATTTAATACTTCCTCTTTATAAATATTGCTGGCATTTTCCTTGTACATTTTATGAACAGAATTGCTCAGATCTTTTGACCTTTATTTTCATACAGTTTTTTGCATCTGAATCAACTAATCAAAATTGAAAATAGTAAATGTTAAATTTGAAGGCGGAAGTCAAATCCGTATCGGGTAGCATAAAACTTAGGGACATGTCACAGCTCTCGGAAGCTTTCGCCGAATTGGATAATGCTTTTCTATGCTTTCTATAAAAGAACGAGGCTATGTTATTGGTTGAAACAGAAATGTATTGTAAAGTTCAGCCAATGAAAATCATTCTTGCGAGGAGCTGCGACACTACCCAAAACTTACCCGTATTTCGCACGTGTTGAATATTTCTGATACTAGCGTTAACTTCATTTAAAAACATAGCGAGACTAAATAATGTTAGATATTCAGACAGTACACCGTTTTTTATTAAGTATTGAAGTTTTAACTGTTAACAAAGCGTTTGTTTACATACGAACTTGAATTCCACTTCAATGGTAAAGTTGTCGCCTTAGGTCTTAACAGTTTTTGTTTGATATTATATTTAGCATACTCTTTGGCTTGGCTTTTTTCTTTCGGCTGTGCTCCATTGCAGCTTCTGTGACAATATTCCGGGATCGTAACTTCTCTAGAAACGTCATTTCCATAAACAACAGGTACGCCTTCATTGCGCTTTCTGAGGGGCTAGACGGTACAGTGGTTGGGTCAGATTCCCATACCACGACGCCGTCATTTTTACCGTGGAAATATCGTATATTTTCATCCTTTCTGCAGGAATATCTATTTGGTGTTTTCGTATTTTTGGTTTTTCGTGGGACTTCCGATGGGTGTCTTCTCTGCCATATTTCGTATCATAAAAACAATGATTGTGGGATTTCTGATGTTGCCCAGAATTGATCATAGCATCATGCCTGATGGTTTTCAACGGTTTGATCCAGGTAACGCAGAGGGACAGAAAGGTGGGAAGAGGGAGAGAGAGGGTTTAAGTGATCTGTTTATATTTTGATTTTTTTAACATCTCACATGCCATAATATTAATATAGCATGATAAACATTGATGGTGAACGCTTATTTTTTTGGGCTTCCTATAACTAGAGAGTGCTCAATACTATAGATAGAGATTAAGATATGCTGAAAGTATTGTTTTACCAAAAATCGTCCACTACAGTCTGTTTCACGAAATGATGCTGCTTGAGTAGTTTTGGTCAAAACGTGGGTGGGCTTTCAAACAATGCATGCATTTCTAAGATTTTTTCGTATAACATGTCAGCTTGAAACATTCTTTTGTGATTAAGGTGGCTCCCTACAATTTTTTAAAATATTGAAAACTTGTGGTTTTGATTTAAAATTTTAGCACAAGATTTCTTGGTAAGGAAAAGAAATTTCCCAGATATATTAACCAACATTCTAACAGTCAGAAATTGCCCATAAGCATGACGTCATTATCGTTGTTATGGTAACAATGGCGATTCAATATGGCCGACATTTTACCTATTAACGCATTTTACTCGAAAACAAGTTCGGTTACCCCAATTTTTTATTTTATGAAAAGTTTTCTTAGAAAAAAATGGAAAATTTGAACCAGTTAAAAAAAATTCTATAGAGCCATAATTAATAGAAATTAAAAAACGGGGTTTTTCATCATAGAAATTTTTTGGCTTTATAGAATTTTTTTAAACTTGCTCAAATTTCCCATTTTTTTGTAAGAAAACTTTTATAAAATGAAAAAGTGGGGTAACCGAACTTGTTTTCGAGTAAAATGCGTGAATAGGTAAAATGACGGCCATATTGAAACGCCATTGTTACCATAACAACGGTAATGACGTGATACTCAAAGACAATTTCGTGTTAGAATGTTGGTTAATATATCTAAAAAATTTCATTTTGTTTAACAAGAAATTTCCTGCCAAATTATATTAATCAATCATCCATTTTTCTTAAAACTGTAGCAAGCCACCTTAAATAAGGAAACTAATTATGATTTTTTGTTTAACAAAAAGGTATCTATCTATATCTTAATTCTTTAAAAGGTTACAATGCGTACATCTGTTATCTTCACGTCCAAGCAGCTTTCAGAAACCCAGTTCTTCGAGTGGTTTGTCAAACACTGATCGATGATCACGAAACACGTAAGTTCTGAAGAAAGGTTAAAACCTATACACCACGGTTAACGGTAGCTTGTAAATAGTTATTAATCATCAACAGAAGCAAAACGGGCTATCCATATAATTATTATTAATTCATTCGGAATTCAGCTGTTTTTAAACTATTCTCGGAATCGTTCACATTAATTGGTATTGGTCCCACTCAGTCAAGTACTCAGAGAATATATACCTATATCAGTATTTAAAAACTATATATATATATATATATATATATATATATATATATATATATATATATATATATATATATATATATACATTATTCATTGTATATGCGAATACTAATATCCATATAACTTATCATCATGATTAATTATGCCAATTAACGATACAACAATTGGTTATTTGAATGACATAGAAAACCTCTATTATAGACTCATGCAATCATTGCCACACTTGTGGTGGTCATAACCACCAACCACTAGCGCTAAATTCAGTTTTCCAATATCAAAGAATGTTTATCTGACTTCCTCATCGTTGTATATATCCTAGAAAGGAAATGTGGACCAAAGTGGACTCGCTCTCCCCAGGCCCGCGCCAAGTGGTTCATCGCACTCACCTTGGCTCGCAATCCACAACTTGCAGCTGAACGAAAACGTGCGAACACAATGTGTGTCAAAGATAGCGACGTCAAAATCGATGTTGGTAATTATGGCCCAGATAATGCAGGATTAATACTAGATAAGTAAACAATGTTAAGTTTGCATGTTTCTTTAGACTTTCTTTTTTATTAGCTAGTTATAGTTGTATTAGATTTTCTTTTTTTATTAGTTAGTTGTATTACGTTTGGAAACGAACCGTGCATGACAAAACATTTTCATCCACACATGCATTTTCGAATGTGAAAAGCACGGTGTTTTGACGATATCAAGCCTTGTTGTCATGTTGTGGTTAATGAAGAAATGTAGTATTAAAATAAAAATATAGTGCACCGGTACAAGGTTCCTCACAAAGCTATTGGATCCCAAACACTGTCCTTGCTGCGATCCTTGCTTGCTAAAGCAGGAATATCTGTAGACTACACGGGACATTCAACGAGATCAACCTCGATATCGGAAGCGCAAACGTGGGCGTGCCGTTGGAGATTATACTAGGTGCAGCTTGATTGGTTTTCGGCAAATGTTTTTAACAAACATCATAAAAAGACTCAAAATACCTTTGCAAATGCTGTGTTAAGTACATAGTTGTTGAAAATTAAAAGTTCATTTTCTGTTTTGCTTTGTTTGTCGGTTTAGTATCAGAGGCCTTGCAGTAAGGCTTTGAAATCTGCACCAGTATTGTGAGTATCAGTCGAAGAAGGTACGAAGGAGGAATTAAATTTCCCCGGAGGGTACTCACCTGACGGGGAGATGTAGTTCTCCGAGGACCTTCGAAGACTGATAGGCAATACTGGTTCCCCAATCGTTATATACCGATAAATTAGCGTGGGTTCCAGACCACTGCTGGCCGCGGTTCTGCACCAGTATTGCTCCTATCAATCTTCGAAGGTCCTCGGAGAACTACATCTCCCCGTCAGGTGACCCTCCGGGGAGATTTAATTTCTATTTTATATATTTAACAATGTAAATAACCAATTCATTCGCACTGAAGATGGCTTATAGTTAAGTCGAAACATGTTTGCTATTAAAAATTAATTTCAAATGCTTAAGTTCATTTCATGTGCCACTGACGCTGATAATAGGGAGATTTAGCATCAAGACGTGAACGTCATAGACGACGTGAAAATGGCGAGTAAATGGCGTGGCATGTCCATATTTGGGCGCAAACGCCACTTATTCGCCATTTTCACATCGTCTTTGATCACGTCCTCATGCTAAATCGCTCCAATTGCCGACTTGAGGCCGTGAAATTTGAGAAACAGGCTTATGTAGTTATGAAACCTGATACGTCTCGATTCCCGTGTCAAGCATAAACTGTTATTTCAAGCAAGAAGCGTTTCCATCCAGAAATTTTCTTTCCCAGGAAAATTCAATTGTCCGTAAGTCGACAATAATATCGACATTGTTATTATTTTATTGTGTACTGCTTGTCGCTATATAACTTATATTCTACTCTACTGTATAGTTTACGTGCACAATTAGGAAAATAAAAAGAAATATAACATATCTGACTAATCCTAAAGCATTAACCATTGCTTCTCAGTATATTTGGAAACAAACTGACAGTGTTTAGCAGAATAGCAGACAAATATAAGCAGAATAGCAGCTGATATATATTAACATTTAATTTACATAATTACATATCGTTGTTTGCTTACGCCATCCTCCCATCAGCCAAGATTCGTAGTCGTCGAGCTTTTTACGAGTATTTTGATAAATTTCGTACTCGAAAGCCCAACGACTGCGAGTTTTTGCCGAATTTTCGTACTCGTAGTCGTACACCTAGTGGTACTCGTAGTCGTACTCGTCACTGCTAAAGCTCCCTATTTGTAGAATTGTTGTTTACTAGCGAGGCTTGCGGCATGAGATAAAGTATTTGATGTCTATTTTATGTGATTTTGTCGTAGCCGTAGGTCGAAACGTCGAATATTAACATTAATCAAGTGTACAGAATTCAACTGCATGTCGTGTACTCGTAATTCTATATACTACGATATTATCATTATTATGGAGACATTGATATGGCTGAAATTCATTCAGATATGCATGCGTGTATTGAAGTCCTTACAATATCTGTCAAAGCCACAAAGACACGTTTTCTGTGAAAGCCACAAAGACAAGTTCAGAAGTCGAGATCATGATCGAATCAGGTCGATATAATTTATCAGGGTTTTAGTCGGTCAGTTAAGATGATGGTTTTTAGCAACAAAGAAAGGCCCCGAAGTTGGGATGAGGCAATTTTTTGGGCAGGCAAATTACAAAGATTTGGGAAAGCGTTAGGCTGGTGGTTGGTCCGTCGATCGCCGTCATTCTTGCATGATGATTGAAGGCTGTAGCACCGCTAGCACGTACTATGATGGTACTATACTCTATAGCTTCTTCAATTTCCGCCATCTCGGCTTCATACTTTTGCCAGGAAGAATGATCATTGAAGTTCTCACTTTTATTGCTTTGTTTCCTTGTCTGTATGAATATAGAAATTATGCAAATAATTATGATTTTTGGCACTCGCAATTAAGACCCTTTAAACCTTATGCAAATAATGCCTTTGGCTTTAATCTTTATGCAGATATAGACCTTTTGCATTATAGACTACTTTTTGATCTATGCGAGGAAATGCTTTGGATGTGGTGAAAACTTGCGAGAATATGAAGATCAATCAATCAATCAAAAATCAATCAATCAATCAAAAATCAATCAATCAATCAATCAATCAAAAACTTTATTTAACCACGGTAAAATCTACAGTATAAAAAGGTTATTGGACATTTAAAGAAAAGTTACAAAGTACAGGTATACATAGGACAATTACACAAGACTGAACGATTTACAAGATTGCCGTGCGGGAGTCTAATCTCTCTTTTAAACTGGTTAAGGGAGCATAAAATGCTCGTACATTTAGTGGTAACTAATTCCACAACACTGCACCACTATAACTAAAACTACGTTTTGCATAATTTGTTCGCGGTTTTGGCACAAATAATTAAAGTGTTTTCAGAATTTCTTAAGTTGTATCTAGTGCTGCGAACTTGAAATAAATCAAGAAGATATGTCGGTGTTTAATCATTTAGAGTTTTGAACATCATTACACCCTTATGTTTTTTCCGGCGTATTAAAAGAATATCCCAACCTAGTTTGTTAAAAAGGTCGCTGGAACTAGCATCAATTAGAGATTTGGTGATTACCCTCGCTGCTCTATTTTGCAGCTTTTGCTGCTCTGGTTTGCAATCATATCCCAGAGCCACCCAACGATATAGTTATTGTGTCTAAAATGTTCCCAGAGTATACATACCAAGGACAAGCGAAAAGCCAGCTGAGAAATGAATATTTTCATTGTGCAACTCATGTGCTAAGAATAAGGATCAAACTTTTGAAGCCCGCAAATTAAGTCCCATCAGTTAGGACATTCGACCCTTCATTCAGTTGTTTCACCTAAAGCATCTGCGAGAACGTTTTTCTACGCGATCAAACAGTCAGATACTACTTTAAAAACATGATATCAATAATCATTGGAAATTCAAAAGTTTTGTTATTAAATCTAACGTTTTGTTAAATGCGGTGAAGACTTCTACAAACACTGAAGACATCTAGATTCAAAAATGTAAATAGATATCCTAGTTATAGAAATTGAAGTTACTGTTATTCTTAATCTAATTTACCGTTAAGACTAGAAATGATCTTCATTTCGATATCGAACATGGATATTTATCAATGATCAGTTACTAGAGTTACCGGTTATCCGGCTATTCGATTACCCGGTTATCCGTTACCCGTGTTACCCATTTGGTCTGTGTCTGTCGTGCTGTTCTACTTATTATGCATATCTTGTATCCTGTTATGTTGTCAATCATTGTAGTAAATAACTAGAAGTAATCAAAGATTAGCAAGTGCGTTCGGTGGTGCGGTTTGTTTACTTTATGAGCAAATAAAATTCCGGATTTCGCATGGTTAAACCAACGGAAGATAGCTTCCTGATGCTTTGACGAGAATTCTCAGTCATATTGCAGACACTTCAAATCAAAATAATCGAGTGTACAATTCCCATAACTTCTTAATAAACAGGCGAATATGAAAGCCAAATGCCCGGTCCTATAAACAACAGCGTATTATCGCAAAATACGGAAAGCACGTGACATTAGGAAACGGCACAAAACCCGGAAATCAGAGCATACGCAAAAACACGAAACCGAGGCAAATGTTACATCCAAAAATCTCGAAATGACATAGCATCCAGCCGTGACGTCACGATTAGGAAGCGTTCTCCTTCGTCGAACGCAATTATGTTATTCATTGAGTATCACCTCGCCTGTATCATTATTTGATTTATTTCTACTTTATATATTTAACAATGTAAATAACTAATTCATTCGCACTGAAGATGGCTTATATATAGTTAAGTCGAAACATGTTTGCAATTAAAAATTCTGTCGTTTATTTCAAATGCCTAAATTCATTTCATGTGCCACTGACTCTGATAATTGCCGACTGTCAGGCCGTGAAATTTGAGAATCAGGCTTATGTAGTTATGAAACCCGATACGTCTCGATTCCCGTGTCAAGCGTAAACTTTTATTTCGAGCAAGAAGCGTTTCCATCCAGAGAATTTTGTTTCCAGGAAAAATCAATCGTCCGTAAGTCCGCAAAAATATCGACATTGTTATTACTTTATTGTAGACTGGCTTGTCGCTATATAACTTATATTCAGGCTACTCTACTATATAGTTTACATGCTCAATTAGGAAAATGAAAGAGAAATATAAAGCATATTTGACTAATCCTAAAGCATTATCCATTGCTTCTATATTTGGAAATAAATTGACAGTGTAGACTCACTATTGTGAAGCATCGTTGTTCCTAATAGCAGAATAGCGGCTAATATATATTTATATTATTACATATAATTACATAAATTCGCCAATACCTGTTATTTCTGTATTATCAAGGAGCTTTAGAAGTGACTACGAGTATGAGATTCGTCATTCTCGCCGCGAGAATCTCGCGCGTTGTTTGCTTACGATACAGATTACACCCAGATGTTTCACTTCTGATTAAAAAAGCGTGACTAGAGGCATCACCCCCCGAAATTTGAAAATGGAGCCGAACCATTTATATTGACAACAAACATGAAAATAAACTCCTCTCATTTGCTAGAGAAAGGGACCGTGTGGTTAAATTTGTGTGTGAACCCTCATCATATCTATACGCGTACTCAACGACTACGAGTTTTGGCCGAGTTTTCGTCGTCGTACTCGTAGTCACTGCTAAAGCTCCCTGTTTGTAGAATTGTAGTGTACTAGTGAGGCTTGACAT